TAAAGGACAAGTCTGTGGAGTTATTTCTCTCCTTCCATCAGTTCCAGATAATAAACTCAGGTTTCTGCACTTGGTGGCAAGTGCCTTTACCCTGAGCCATCTTGCTGGTCCTGAATAAATTGAAAGATTCTAAAAAGTATATATCAGGTATTTATACAGAGTTAGTCTTGAAATAATACTCGAGTATTTCATTGTAAAAAAGAAAGTAAAAGAACAAATGTTAGACCACTCAAAAAGGAGTCCATCATGACATGGCTCAATAGTTCTTAAGCTAGAGATCAGAAAACAAAAATGCTGGGAAAAGAGAGCCTTGAGTGGGAGGGAATCTGAGCTTCATTGGAATGCAGTCAGCATTGAAGAGCTAGGGATGCCTGCAAAGACTTCTTCCTACATCCTTGTTCTGAAAGTAGACTCAGATGCTGTGCTGGTTTCAGTAGGTATGGCCCCCATAGACTCATGGGTTTGAATGCTTGTCCTATAGGGTGCCACTCTTAGGAGGTGCGGCCTTGTTGAGGAAGTGAGTCACTGTGGGGGTGTGCTTTGAGGTCTTAGTATGCTCAAGGTATGCAGTGTGGCAAAGAGTTCACGTCCTCTTGCCTGTGGGTCAAGATGTCCAACTTTCAGCTCCATGTCTGCCTGAATGCTGCCATGCTTCTCACCATGGTGACAATGTAAACCTCTGAAACTGTAAGCCAGCCCCAATTAAATGTTTTCCTTTATAAGAGTTGCCATGGTCATGGTGTCTCTTCACAGCAACTAACCTAAGATGCCTTATGTGACTGAGCTGTAAGAGCCAATACTAAAACTCAAGGCTTTGGCTTTCTTGTCTCAGAAGTGTAAGATAAACTGTGACAGGCAATTCAAGTGAAAATACTCTTAGTATTCCAGATATATAAATAGTAACAGAGTAGATTCGAAACTTAACTCCTTAGAGGTACTTACTCACTTTGTGTACTACTGCAAGACAACTCCCATTTTGTATTAAGAGGCAGTGACAAAATGTGTCCAATATGTCAAAATTTTACTTCATAACCATTTGAGGCAGAACTGTTGGTGCTCAATGAATCATAGGGAAAACTTTGAGAAAGTCTGGAAACTCTGCTAAGATAAATTAGAAAAAATATAAAGATTTTATATAAAGACTCATTATAATTTGTATGTGTTTACTGGGTGTCTGAATAAGGGGAAAACATTTGGTGGAATTTTAGAATGTTTTTACACAACAAAACTTATAGTTAAAGTAAACATATTTTAAGAGACTTGGCCTTGATGATCACATTCGAAATAAAGGAGAATTTATCATTTAAGTGATGATGTTAAGCATTCTGAGTTGATGGATGAAGCCCATCTCCCTGACTGCAATACTGGGCCCTCTCCACCATGTCATACAACTTTGAATTAGGGACTAACTCAGAATACCAACAGGTGACCTATGTAGCCGGCACAGTCAAGTTTTCTCCATTTGATTTCTTTTCATGTGGCTTCCCTTTCCACTACTCAGGGGCCACCATAGTGTGTTACTATTGAGGCAGCTTCCTCCAGTCAGCGAGTTCCCAGCCCAGCCTTTGAGACCATCTGGGTTGAAAATCTTTCTCTTTACAGTGCTGTGCTCCTGGTCCTTGTGTATCCAGATACATGTGTAGGACAGTCCAATGTAGTAACAAAATACATTATTAGGCCTCTTCTACATGTGCTAGATCACATATGCACACGCTGTAAGCAGCTCTTTGTTCTTGAGTGGAATGAGGCAAGAGAACATATGATAAAAATCGGATATAATGTACTTTATCATGTTATATTAAATAATAGGTAGGGTTTTTATTTCACAGGTAACCTTTGATGTAGCTTGGTCACCAAAGAACATAGACAAAAGGTGCTATAATTATACTGGAATTGCGGGTGCCTGTGATTTTCTCTTCGTGATGTCTTACGATGAGCAAAGTCAGATCTGGTCAGAATGTATTGCAGCAGCCAATGCTCCCTATAATCAGACATTAACTGGTAAGAATACAAGAAATGATCACTTAGTTTGTAATATTAATTCCAAAACCTCTCATACAAAAGTACTTTTTAGTTTTTCTAAATTATTTATATACCCCTTATATAAAAGTTTGCTTTACAAATAAAATAGAATAAAGTGTAAAGTGTATTATAAATCAAATATAATAAAAGAATAAAATACATTGGGGAGCTTTAGTATTTACACAAAAATAGAAAATTTCAATTACTTCTTATTATAGCCTCATGGGACAGCTATGTTATCATTGATCCTTTATGATACTACTTCAAGCCTAACACTCTTGTCTTATGGCAAAATATTTTTGTTTAATATTATGGAAGTTAATGCAGAAATTCACAACCAGTCATAGTGCAGGCAATAATTGTATATGAATTCAACCACAAATGGGAACTCTAACACACACACACACACACACACACACACACACACACACCACGGCTCAGGGACCACTGTGACGTGGACAGAAAGAATGTAATAGCCCGAGTTTGGAAGGACCATAGCAGGTCTGCTATGACAGGCCTGCACACTCTGAAGTTTACAGCACAAGACCCAGCCAGTCACCATTCTCAGGAGCAGTAGAAGAGTTTGTTCACATTCTTTGTGTCCTAAACTACAGGTTACTATAGTGTAAGAGCAAGGACATTTCTTATCTCCCGCAGTCATTAGGAAACATGCAGAATTTTTTAAACATGGAACACTTCAGTTTCTATAAAAAATTCTGAGTATCACTGCCACAAAGTTTAGGATTTATAGAACTTTTTGAAGCTTTAGAGTCCCAAATATCAAATATATGTTAACTTCTAACACATAAAATTATTATGATTTGCAATTTTCATTTCTTCAGTTACATTTTGTGTATTTTGTTTCCATGTTGTCTTCATTGGATGTCATCTCTTATTAAAACACAAAGCTTAGAAAGCAAGACATACTATGACTTCAGTTCTTAAGGGATGATTTTTGTGACATCATAGAAGTATTTGTTTCTACAAACTTAAGATTTGGTGTAGCTGCCCAGCTCCCTTTACACATGAGCAGACACACAAACAGAAGAATTACATGGTTTTCTATCCCCTTGTGACTAGGATATAGTGACTACATCAAGATGGGCATTAGCCCTAAGAAACTCATCATGGGTGTTCCCTGGTATGGTTATGATTACACCTGCCTGAATCTATCACAGGTAAGAGCTACTTTATTCCTTGTGTGATATTACTCCATTATATATTTTGTTTTGCTTTGAGCATGTGAAACTTTTTAAAATAATTTCTGAAATATATTTTGAAGCTAAACTTTATTTCTTTTTAATTCTTTAATATGGAAGTTTCTGAATGTCATGCATTTTCATTTTATTATCAATTTAATTATTCTGTAAAGTCAGATTATTTATAGTGTATCTTTTATTTCTAACAGCTTTATTATTTGTCTCATTTTGATTTTTTGTATTTGCTTGATGATAATATGGACATTTTTGGACTTCTAGGATGATGTGTGCAACATTGAAAAGGTTCCTTTTCGAGGGGCTCCTTGCAGTGATGCTGCAGGCCTCCAGGTGCCCTACAAAGTGATTATGAAGCAAGTAAATAGTTCTGTTTCTGGAAGCCAATGGAATAAAGACCAGCAAGCTCCTTATTATAACTACCAGGTACATTTTCATAATTTAAGAACATTTACTCAAGCCGGGTGGTGGTGGTGGCGGCACCCACCTTTAATCTCAGCACTTGGAAGGCAGAGGCAAGTGGATTTCTGTGAGTACAAGGCCAGCCTGGTCTACAAAGCTACACAGAGAAACCATGTCTCAAAAATTTAAAAAAAAGAACATTTCTATAATGCTATTTTGTGGTTAGATATTGGTCATTAATAATTTACCAGTTTTACTGTTTATGTGCATAAACCTGTCTTTGACTTTGTGTAATCAGGAAATTTAGTTGCCTGGGAAAAAACTGAAGTTAAATTATGATTTTGAATGTTTTATGTATATCACAAACAGGACTTCGTAATAGTTGACAACTATGCTAAGGTAGTTTGCTTTTCAAAGGGCTTTGGCCAAAGTAGGTTTTGTGTTTGAAAGTCTCCATTTATTTCAAAATAGCTTAACAATTCTGATGAGCTCCAGAGAGGTGGGAACAAAATTGAGATTAATAGATGAGTAATTATAGATTTTTATATTGAAAAATGGCACCTGTCAATTTTATTTTACAAGTAAAACAAATTATAAGGGATTTTAAAAGTTAGAAACAGAAAAACATTATGTAAGAAAATATAAATAACTGTGTGTACATATATGACATATATACTTATATGTATAAATAGCATATGCACACATACATGTGTAACACATATGTAAGCAATATTACTAGAACTCTGTTCTAAGAACTGTTAACATTATACATAGAAATGTACATACATGTACAAATATGCATGCATGTGCTATGACCAAATATATTTAGAAAGCACTTGGCCATATCTGTTGGTCTGAGATTTCTATTGTATGGAATTACATTAAAATATTTAACAAGTGTTGCAATACATAAAGCTATTAATTTAACATAGAGCCTGCTTCAGTTCACTCAGAACCAGGCAGGGGAACAGTATTTTATGGTTATACCAATCAATTATGTATAATTTAGAAATATATTGTAATGATAGTATATGCTGTTTTATAATTATTGGCTTCATTTTTCTTTTTAAATAAGAAGATGCAGAAACATATTGTTTTGACAGTAAATGATACAAATGATACAACTGTGTCTGACCAGCTTTGATATACATGTCCACTTACATGTGTCTTACTTCATAGTTCTTTTATAGTGAGATCAGTTAAAATCAACAATTTTAAAATAGGTGATCCCTTGCTGCCTTGCTCTTAGAGTGGTAATGGTGTTTATGAGATCTTTTCACCTTCTTTCTCTTGTCTGACTAAGAGTGTGTGTCCTTTGAACATCTCCCGTGCCTTCATTCACATCTTCTGATATAACTACCATTTTAGTTTCTCTGAAAGACTGGTTTCTGAGTGAAGTATGTTTATTTCCTAGACACGCTTTAAGATATTTGTATTCACATGCACTAGTTGTATATATCAATGGGATTCAGTATGATTTCTGACACAATACACAACATTTACTGGTAAAAATCAAGGTTGATAGCATTTTTTCCTTATAATTTCTTCATATTTGAAACCATTGTATTCTTACCTCCTATTCATGAGGTATTCTATTCCTGTCTGAGTGTGTGTTGGTAACCACTATCCAGAACATACTGTTTCAGCTCAAATAATTCATGAAACACTTTGGGGAGCTTTGGAGTCCATTTAATGGTATTTTAAACAACAATCCACTGTTACCGTTATGCTCCTCATTTTTAGTCAGAGTACAAAAGTTTCTTTTGTGTGCTAGGTCATCCAGGGAGTCACCTTCAAGAGCCTTTTAGCGTCAGTTCTGTCAGACCCAGGAAGGGGGTACTTCCTTCTCCACTGCTATTACCTGGTCATCTGGCCCACTTATCACAAACAATAGTCATCTGTTGAACCCCTAGGTTGGCACGCCTCCAGAAACTGTAAAGAATACAAATAAATAAATACACAAATAAACAAGCAAACAAGCTGGTTTTGTTCTTTTTAACTTGGGTTTCATATCAGTTACCCAGTGGAGATAAACAAACATGCATCCTAGCGCCTGCCTTACAAGGGTCTGGTTAAGCATGTTTTATGTAGAGTGAGACACAGGAGTCTGAGTTGTTACTTGTGTCCCGTGTTGTTCTAGACAGGGTCTCACTGTGGAGCTTAGGCTGGCCCTCAAATCATGACCCTCTGGCCTCATCCTCCTGAGTGCCAGGTGTTCATCACCAGGTCCTTTTACCTTCTAGAGTCTGTAAACAGAGAAAGCTCCAAGGTCTACAATGATTCCAGTGTACATCTTAGTTGATAATCATTAGGGCACGTCAGATAGTCTTAAGACAGAGAGGTTCTTAAACAGAAGATGATATTTAGAAATATGTGTATAACCATGAACTAATAGAGAAGGAAAGTTATGTGATATACAATTTTCATTATTTCTTTGCGTGCATTTTGAGTCCTTGAATTTAAGAATTTTTCTCTTACTGTATTGAACACTTTAAATTTCCAATTCAATTGTTTTTGTAGGATCCTGTTGGCCATTTTCATCAAGTGTGGTATGATAACCCCCAGAGCATTTCACTAAAGGCAGCGTATGTCAAAAACTATGGCTTGCGGGGCATTGGCATGTGGAATGCAAACAGTCTTGACTACTCAGAAGATGCTCTAGCCAGACAGCAAACAAAAGAAATGTGGGGAGCTTTAAAACCAAGATTGTGATGGAGAGAGGAGCATCTCTTGTCAGACTATTAGATTTTGTAAGAATGAGCTGTTTAAGTGGTTCTAGCTTCTTGCAGAGATAAAAATGTGTATATTCTGTCATGTTGCCATACTTATCTATTGTTATACTCAACACACAGGTAAGAGATAAAGAGATTCTTCATTTGAACATGAAAGATACATATATATCTTAAATAGTGAGGAATATAAAAGCAAGAAACAAGGCAACATTCTATTAAATATTTTTCTATGTTTTAATATATTTTAATTAGGAAAATTGCTTTCAAAATTTCTCTTCTGGTATTAAAATATACTATTAAAAATCATTACTGATTTAAAAAACGTGTAACTAGTGGACAAAAGATAATGGGGTGGGGAATGAATATGATCAAATTATGTTATATACATGTATAAGAATATCAGAATGAAGCATTATTTTTTACAATTAAAACATGCTAATAAAAACATTGACAAGAACTATGCATATCTTGAAATGGAAATTGTTGGCTTCAAACACATTCTTTACAACCTAGCCTTTGAGAAGCAGTGTATGTTGGATTTATTTTCAACAAATGTTAAATTTAGAACCAGGAATTTGGTTATCTCCTTATATTGACCAAAATGATTAGACATGATTTTTCTGCTTCCTGACTCCTTATAGTACATACTAATGTTTCATGACACACATTAGAGTCACTTAAATCTTGAAACAGTGTATGAGAAAAAAAGCATGCATACAAATTACATGAGAGATGAAAATTTAGAAATATTTGAACTTGTAAAGGCACCTGATAAGAGATTTCTGTGTGAGACTCTTGCAATAAGAAAAAGCTGGTGTTGAACTTAGTCTATTCACTGTTTAGTCGTTCATGGTGCTTCACTTACTAACTCTCATTTCTTGCCTAGTTTTCTTTTCATGTTTTTCTTCTATATTTGCATTTTGCTTTTAAGCTGCATAAGAACATTATTCTCTCTGTTTTCTAAATGATCAATTTTGTGAAAATAAATTTCTAATGTAAAGCAGTCTTCATTCTCGTTCTCAAAGCAAGTAACAGTAACCTTACAGGACTGGTGAGATGGCTTAGTGGTTAAGAGCACTGGCTGCTCTTGCAGAGGTTGTAGTTTCAATTCCCAGCACCCACATGACAGTTCAAACATAACTCCATTTCCCCAGGGATCTTTAACTCCAGTTCCAGGGTATCTGACACACTGTTATGGCACACACATGTTACACAGACATACAAACATCCATGCACATAAAATTAAATAAAAATAAATCATAACATTGTATTTATATTACTTCCTGAAAATACATAGATTAAATGTTTGGTGTTGTGGAATAATCTTTTTGTACACTGTGACGATGCTTTACTCTGATTGGTTTAATAAAAAGCCGATGACTTGACGGATTTTAATGATCCATCACGGGAGGCCTCACCCTCCCTGGGGAGTGGGTGGGGGATGGGATGGGGAGTTCTTTGGGAGGCTTGGGAGGATGGGAGGGAGAGGGAACTGGGATTGATATGTAAAATAAGATTGTTTCTAATTTAAATAAAATCTATAAAAATAAAAAGCTGAATGGCCAATAGCTAGGCAGGATTTCCAGGCAGAGAGGACGCTGGGAAGAAGCCAGCAAAGACACCAGGGGCACTGAGCACGCAGGATGGGCACTGTGGAGATGAGGTGACAAAACCACCTGGCAGAAAGTCAATGAATAGAAATGGTCTACTTAGCTTATAAGAGCTAGTTATAAACAAGCCTAAGCTATCGGTCGGTCGAGCTTTCAGAGCTAATAAGAGGTCTGCGTCATTATTCGGGAGCAGCTGGCAGCACAGAGGAAGATTCACTCCAGTTTGTATCCTCTGAACTTCATGTACATAAATCCTATCTTCTTTACATATGATCACTTCCAAACTGGAACAAGTGATGTATCAACTGTTACCACAATGTTACATTTTCTATTTACATAGTTGTTTACTTCATCAGAATATGCATAACTTTATTTCTAAAAATCATTTTATATTTCTAAAAGCAGTACAAATTAAATTATTAGGCACAAATTTGCCATACATGTATATGTAATAGATTTTAATAAAAATATTAACAAATTCTATTTCTAGGCAAAGATAGTGGTATATATGTTTTGCTACTAATTTTGCCATCATACTGGCCTTTAAGCTTATTAAAATAAATTATAAGACTGTAAAATAGGTAATAGACTCAAAATCGTCTAAATAAACAGCCACTATTCAGATTTATACTATGACTTGTAATACCCACACAAAAACTAAGATTTAAGTCTTTAACTGATACATCAGCCTTACGATTTATATAAAACATTGCCAAGGAACACAAATCATAAAAATTTCAAGAGATAAATTAAATGAACCTACATAGTGGAGATCGGAAAGATGTCATTTTCTTCTGTGTCAGTTCAGCTTTCAGTGTCTGTAAGTCTGAAACTGCTTGTTTTCTCATCTGTAGAAAGAGGTGCCTTTTAAAAATGAACTTCATCTCGGCCTTCTAAAAGGATGGTGGGAACTGTCCTCATTTGCCTTTCATGCCCTCACTCTTATTAGATTACTACAGTAAATTCATGTTATACATCTTGGCTAACAGGTATTCTTATGAGTGTCTAGATGAGTATGAAATTATGTCCTTTATGAGTATATAAAGGACAGTTGAAATGTCTTGAAAGATAGAATAAAAGGAACATTTTTTTTAAAATGTTAGCTTCAAAATCTCACTGTGGAACAAGTAAAACCAGCGCAAACAGGATCCTAAGGTTTCTTTAGGAAACAGATATTAAGATGCATGATAGGATACACTCGTGCCTAAAATGCGTTCTCGGGGTCTCAAACCTTTACTTTTCCTCATTTCGTAACTAAGGTTCAAGAGCATTAGCACAACCTACAAGTTTGTTAAGAACAAAGAATCTCAGGCTTCCCTGGGTTTATGGAGTCAAATGCTGCACTCTGAACTAATTCTCCTGCTAAGATAAACGATTCAACGTTTAGAAGCACTTCTTATGCTCCACTACCTTGAATAAATAAGTCTGCAAAAGACTTGGGCTTGACTTTCTGCCTCTGATTTCTCAATAGTATTGGTGGGAATGTTTTAGGTGGTTCATTTAGAAATCAATAAATATTATTGGTTATATGTCACAGGACCAATTGTTTTTCATTGCATACTACTTAATATTTAGCTCATATTATTAAAATCATCCTTTGTTCTTTTCCTCTTAAGTCTGAAGCATCCTAGTCCTAGGCCAGCCTTGAAGGAACTGAAAAGCATCTAGAACTGCACTGTCCAATGTAGTAGATAGTAGTAAATTTAAATTAACTAATTAACTAAAGGTAACTAAAATTAAAAATTCAGGTCCTTCATCATACAAGCTACATTTGAAGTGCTTAATATCCTTAAGAGGTAATGGCAACCATATTCAATGGTGAGGTATAAATACTTGTAGAAAGTTCTATTGGTCAGTGCTAATTCTAGATAATGATAATTATTCTGTGCTGTGAAACTATTCTGGAAAAAGGGTGAATGGAGAATCTCTGTGGTCAGTCTTTCCTCTTTTGTGTCTACATGTTTTAATGAAAGAATATGTAGTCTTTCCTCTTTTATGTCTACATGCTTTAATGAAAGAATATGGAGTCTTTTCTGTTCAGCTCAACAAGAGAGTTTAAAAACTCCAGGCCAGGGCTGTAGCTCTGAGGGGAAGTGCTTGTCAAAGGGCTTCCTAGACTACTTTATAAAGATGCTGAGAATGCTCAAAATCATCTATTCGACATTCCGTAGAGAAAAGCTCCTACCAAGAAATAAAGCTCACACTAATGCAGTCTCTGCTCCAAAGGAAACTTAGCATGTAGCAGAAGAGCCACACTTCATTAAGTATGAAAATAACAACAGCAAAATGGTTACCCAAAAAAGTGAGCAAATTAAGTGTGAGTCAGGGGCTCATGTGGAGATTTGTCAATTTATAAATGTCTGAAAATGTAGGAAAACTATTTTTAAAGTGTTTTTCTGTTCATATTGTACAGAGTCATGGTCCTTTAACTTTTAATTAGTAAAATTTACTTACTTTTCCTTACTTTTCTTTGGCCTTCATATAACATGCATCTTTTTAAATAGTATTTATTTTTCTTCCCACATTTTTTTTCCATTCATGTTCTTTGCTGTGAAAGTACTAATCTAAAAAGAGTCAGTCCTGGCTACCCTTGTAATACTGATATTCAAGGTTAAAACACCGAACTATTTTTATTTCAAGATGACCGTTACAATCTGATTAGCACAAATGTAGATTACCTTAACTTCTAATATGAGTTTCATTTTGTCAGTGTCCAATTTCCTCTTCAGTTGGTCAATTGCATGCTGTACTTCCGTGATCTGGATTATAAGGTAATTCTGTGTGTGAGACAGAAAGTCATTATTTAGTGTAATATTTGTGTATTTAGTATCAGTGGCTTTATGAACACAAACTGTGAAGTGGTCACGAAAATAATCTGTTTCAGAAGACAAATGTATGCTTTGGATGGCTTCCTTTCTGCTGAGATCTTGTGCTTTAGCCGTGACTTCTGTTCTACCTCTAGTCATTTATTATCTTTCAGACAGAGCCTGGCACCATGGCACAGTATTCAGGAGGCTGAGGCAGGAGGATCTCAAGTTGAAGCTGGGTAAGATCCTCAGAAAATAAAATTGCTATTTGGAAAACTGACCATTCATGTAACATCCTTTATGCTATTAATTTATGAAGATCTTAGCAAACACTTAGAATTCAGCATAGTATTTTATTATCTGAATCAGTTTAGGATTATTTAAAAATATTTAACAATTAAACTCTTCTATATAAGAAAATATACTAAAAATAAAAATAGTGCTGGGCGGTTGTGGCACCCGACTTTAATCCCAGCACTCAGGAGGCAGCACTCTCTGAGTTTGAGGCCAGCCTGGTCTACAAGAGCTAGTCTCCAAAGCCACAGAGAAACCCTGTCTTGAAAAACCAAGAAAAAAAAAATCCTAAAAAACTTATGCAGTATGGTTCTCTTTACTAAAGGCAGTTATTTAGGAATTTTATACTTCCATGTAGGATGGTGGTGGTACACAAGCCTTTAATCCCAGCACTTGGAAGCCAAGGCAGACAAATAAAGGAGTTCAAGGCCAGCCTGCTCCACAGAGTGAGTTCTAGGACAGCCAGGGCTATACAAAGAAACCCTTTCTCAAAAGACAGAAAATAAACAACAACAAAAAGAATTTTAAACTTCCTTTGTGAAGCAGATTCTCCTGTTGAACCAATAAAATTGTAAGATAAAAGTAGAAACTATGTTAAAATAATGTTGACTATTATGGCAATTATTTTAGCCTATCTGGATTTTATATTAACTTTATCTAAAGTAGTAAACATTCACTATTTCATCAGGTCTAAAGTGAAATCATTATCATAATTAACATATTTTAAATCTTTTGGATATGTGAGATCAATCTAACAAAAAACAAACTGCTAAATGACTCCTGGATTTGTTTATTTTTGCCTATTTAATTATGTGGTAGAATTATACAATAAAGGATACTCTTGTCTGTGATGTAAGATTCAAGACTATCCCAAGAGAAAAATGAGTTGATGAAAATTTCATAAATTTAAAAGATTCTTTAGAACATCAGTGATCTTGAGTTCTGTGGTGCTGTAACTCCCTCTTCCTATGGACTACAGTGAGCTCTATTAACACCTTAGTCTTATTTCTCAGTTATTTATTTCTTTGTAATCTAATTAGCCTACTGCAGCAGGGGATTCCTTGGCAACTGTTACTGATTCAGAGTTCTGCCTAGTTAACCTCAACCAGACTAAAGGAAAGGAAAGATTCTTTTTTGTTGTTGTTTTGTTTTTGAGACAGGGTTTCTCTGTATAGCTTTGGAGCCTATCCTGGCACTTGCTCTGTAGACCAGGCTGGCCTTGAATTCACAGAGATCTACCTGCCTCTGCCTCCCGAGTGCTGGAATTAAAAGTGTGCGCCACCACCGCCCGGCTGGAAAGATTCTTATGTTTTGTTGGGCCCCAGCCCCCAATGGGGCTCTGTGAATTGACAGGTGCATCCTGTTCTCTAGTCCTGGCTCAGAGTCCCGGCCTTGCCCCACTGGCATCAACATCTAGTAGGAGGAAAACACGAGCTCTTTCTTACACCTAGGGTTTTCCCACTGTGCCGTAAGTGTGTATAAGGCTTCTCTCTCCCTGCAATAAAGAGACACAGAGACAGAGACACACACTCTCTTAGCACAAACCCAGATGTCTTCTCTTTCATTTAAATCTCCAGGCTTTTGCTGGATACATTAGGCTGGTCACAATGTTTCATGACTGTGTGTGTGTAGTAGCAACTCTAGTAGAATCATTGTATCTAGGGTAAACATTAGAATGAAATGGTTGTTCTTCACTGTAGCTAGGGCAAATATCAGGATGAACAGTTGTCTTCTAGAAGTACTTAGACCCTGAAGAAATCATTATGGAGAGCAGTGATAGTTTTCTGTTCACTATAGAGCTGCTTTTCTTATATTTTTGGGTGTGAGCCTAGCCTTTAATGGCTGAGCTATCCCTCCAGCCCTAGAGCTGCTTCTCTGAAGCAGCTTCACAGCCTTTGCCTGACTCTGGTCACAAGACTGTCCTGGCACACTTAAAGTTCTTAAATTACTGACTACTGCAGACAGTAGGACTAAAGTGGCAAGGGTGTGATGTTTTCCTTCATAAAACATATAGATTAGATCAGGGGCTTTGGTATGAGGGACTTGTTTACCCAAAAAACAACTTTTATGTAACAATCAATAAGCGTTTGCACAGCGAGGTTGGGTTAAGTTCATAGAAATTATTCCTCCCTGCTGCCACCATGAACCTAAATTACTTCTTGGAATGACCCTGTTTCCCAACACCCAACCACTCTGGACCAGGTTTCTGTCCTATTAGCCACTGGCAACTCTACTGCTGTTAGAAAAAAGCCGTCTCATGAAGCCAACAATACGAACAGGGGGGAAATACCAACAGCACTAAGGCCCTAAGAGAACTTGTCTTCTGACCTGTGCCTCCTTGTGATACCAGGCCGGGGGTGGGGGGTGGTTTACTGTCCAAGCAAATTTTGCTACAAGTAACCCAGAGAATCCTAAACACAATAATACAAGTATAAAGCCTGCTTTCTGCAAGGGCTTCTCTAGAGGAAGGGGGCGCAGTCTACAGTACCTTCGAATCTGAGATATTTGCCAGATTCCTTGGTCGCATCTTGATCTCCCTAGCTTCAAGCTGCATGAGGAGTTTTTTATAGTAAAGTTCCAAATCTTCTCGAAGTTTTGTTAAGACTTCCTCCAATGATGCTGTGACTTTCTTGGTGTCAAAGTATTTTTTCTTCCAGTTGTCACCGGCTACAAACAAAACACAAACTAAAAAAGTTACAGGTGGATACGGTTAAGACATCGGTTCTCAAGCTGTAGGCCGTGACCCCTTTAGGGGTTTAATGCCCCTTTCACAGGGGTCTCCTAGGATGATTGAAAAACACAGATATTTATATTGTGATTCCTAACAATAGCAAAACTACAGTTATGAAGTAGCAATGAAATAATTTTATGGTTGGGGGTTACAACGTGACGAACTGTATTAAAGGGTCGCAGCGTCAGGAAGGTTGAGAACCACAGTGTTAAAGCATTGAAGTTTTAAGGTAGAAAGGATCCTAGAGTTAGAAAAAGACAGCAATTTAAAACATTTTCCTTCTCTCATTTTTCTTAGCTCTTACAGACTTACAAGTACCTAAAGCTGAGAGAAATGTTTGCTAGATAATATAGTGCTTTGGTTTGAGTGAGAATGGTCCACATAGAGTCATATAATTTGAATGCTTGGTCTGAAGTTAGTAAAGCACTTTGAGAAGGATTGGGAGGTGTGGTCTTATCTGGAGAAGTACCACTGGAGGTGAGGGAGGTAGACTTTAATGTTTCAAAAGTCCATGCCAGCTCAGCCTCTCTCTGACTCCTGCTTGTGTATCAGACATAAGCTCTCAGCTACTTCCCAGTGCCATGCCGGCCTGCTTTCTGCCATTATGATCACAGACTAGCCTTCTGAAATTGTAAGGAAGCCACCAATTAAGTGTTTTTTGTTATAAGTCGCCTTGGTCTTGGTATCTCTACACAGCGATATAAAAACAACCATGCCAGAAGTTAGGGTATTGCGGTGATAGGCTTTGGAATCACCTGACACACCCCTGGCATGTATCTTTGAGGGTGTCCAGAGAGCATTAATTGAAGACGGAAGACCCATCATGGATGTGGGTGGTAGCATACCATAGAAAGGGTTGCAAAAAAGCAAGCCAGCAAAACACCAGCATCTACCGCTCTGCTTCCTGCCTGGACCAACCATCTCACCATCTCAGAAAGCTCCTCCACACGCTTTCTGTCCTAGAACTGACTTTATCCCTTTTAGACACATTAGGTCTCTCTCCAAGTCCTGCTACCTGCTACTAGCAGCTTCCACTAGTCCACTCTTCATCTTCTGCTACATCTGTCTCTACAACTACAGTCAGCATGACATCATGTAAAAGCTGCACTGTCATCTGAGCTGTCCCCTACTCCTGTAAACAATACTCCACACAATGGTCATTATCATCTTCCTTAATTTTTTTTTTTTTTTACAGTGCTGAGGCTTGAACACATGACAGCTTTACTACAAGGCCTTATTTTTTGTGATTGTTTTTTCTTTCTTTCTTCCTTCCTTCCCCCTTTTTTTTTTTTTTTTTGAGATAGAGTTTCGATGTGTAGCCTTGGCTGAGCTGGAACTCACTGTGTAGATCAGGCTGGACTTGAATTCAAAGCTCAGCCCACCTCTGCCTCCCATGTGCTGGGATTAAAGGTGTGTGCCACCATACTTGGTCCCAAATGTTTTTAAGATTATGTAAAATCCTAGTTTAAAATCCTCCAATGGCTTCTAACATTACTTAGAACAAAATCCAATTTCTTTGACTTAGGTTTGCTGATTAATTTTATTTATTTTTTCTACATTCCACTTTATTTAGCATGCTCTAGCTACACTGGCCTTTTTTTTCAAGGTTGACTACCACAAAGCCATCCTTATCTCTTCGCCTGATATTTACTGTTCCTCTTATGCAGAATGATTTTTTTTTTCAATGCCTACCTCATTAATCTGATGTGGGCATCTCTGTTCAGAAATGTCTTCCTGGAAACCCTAGCTAAAGCCCCATGCTGCATCACCCTCATTCCTACTAGCTCCAATCATATTCTCTCACTCATTTGTACTAGTAAAGCAGCAAGGCACACATATCCCCAAATGAAGCACCTAGGGCAATTTAAAGACTCAAAGATGGCCTCTAGAGTAAGTGACACACGACTCTGAAAGATGGCTTCTAGAGTAAGTGACACACGATTCTGAAAGATGGCCTCTAGAGTAAGTGACATACGACTCTGAAAGATGGCTTCTAGAGTAAGTGACACACGATTCTGAATGACCCGCAGGGATCAAACCAGTGAGCTGAGTAGACTTGAATAAAAGAAAGACAGGTTGATGACTAGGGGAAGCATGGCAGAAGACATGGAGCCAAGAGGCACACTTGGATCCTAGTGTATCCACTCCTTCTGGGAGGCTTCCTTGGTCTCTCCCATCCAGGTCACGTGTTCCTCCTTAACATTTCTATAGTACACATGTGTAGTTCCTCTGCAATAGCACTAAACACAATGTGTCATTTAATCTTAACTCGGTTATCAATTTCCCTGATTGTGTGTATAACACTTAATATCTCCTCATCCCTTACAACAATGTCTAAATATGCTAAACACTTAAACACTTAATAAATCTGTGAAAGAATTTAAAATGAGTTTTGATATAAAAATGTTTGGATTTTAATTTATAACACCTTATACAAAGCATTCATTGTATAACAGTCAAATAATGATTGTTTTCTATATTAATGTACTTGAATTATGTATTAAAATGTAACAAGTATAACAATAAATACTAATTATAATTATGTTATTTATACTGAAAGTATCAATTTTGTACAATATAGGGTTAGTTTTCTTTATAGTTAAAAATTTGTGTAATAAACTTTACCATGATATCGTTTCGATTTATTTTGTTCAAATAGTTTTTCAACTTTTTTTATTAGGTCTTCTCTAATACTTTCCAGATATTTTCTTTCTTCTTTTACTTGTTTCATTTGTTCAATAATCTTCTCTCCTAGAGAGATTATAACCCATACTCATCAATTCTGAAAAGGTAAAAGATGGTTCATATCCCAAAAGACAGATTTACAAACCTGAAAGTGTATAAAAAAGAATAAAATTTATCAAAATGTATGTTTTTCTTTCTGCTCTTACTACTATGGAGAACATAGATGAGACATTTGATTTGCTTGGATTTATAAAATAGTATATTTCTTCTGCATTTACATAAATGTGTGAAACTAGGTAGTCAGGCAGGCTAAGTTATCCTTATATTTTTTTAGTTTCTTATTTTTGGTAAATTTATTTTGGGCCCAAAGTTACTGTGCTTTATAACTTACACAGAAAATGGATATTTGAGAATGAAATAATATTAGTGACTAATATACACTGTAATCAACATAAAATTAATATAATTTATATATATAAATAATTTATAGTAAAATATGTAACAATATTTGCCATTTGCCTGTTTTCTGAGTGCAATTAAGTGGCACTACATTACTTACAATATTGTATAACCAATCCCACCACCCACCTCCACAACTTTAAAAAAACATTCGTAAATGGAAACTTTTTGGCCATTAAACCATAACTCCTTGTTAACACAGTTAACCTTGCCTCACAAAGAATTATCCATACTTACGATGTTACAAATACTTACTCTCAATTTTTAATAAAGAGGAGTCAGTTAATCTGGAAGAAACTCGCTGAGAAGGAAATGAAGGAAAATCAATAAGATCTGGTAGTGTGATGTGCTCCTTGTCACCCACCTGTAAGGAGGCATGAGGGTGAATAGAACCACCAGTGTGAAGCATCCCTTTAGCCCATCCACGAGTGTTTGCTAGAGCACACCAGCAATGCCCTTTCTCATGACACCCGATTTGGCATGTATAGCTACAGATAACCTCTCATGCTCTTTCCATTTCACTAGGACTTTAACATTTTATGAAGACAGTATACAAAAAGGCTTTAAAATGAACTATCTTTCTGTATGGAACTTCTAAGATTTTTGATTTTATTCAATCAATATAATAGCTTCTTAAAATTGTTAAAGATAGCTATTGATTTTTCACGTAGACAATTTTGATAGTTTATATTTGCCAACAAAATTGATGAGTCTATCACATTTTCAAAATGTTACCATATTGTTTTGTATCTTAGATTTACAGGCTCTATTTCCTCTTTTTTTGTTTATATTTCCTCAACTTCTTTTCTTTCTCTCCCCTCTCTCTCTCCCTCCTCCTGTATTGATATACTTGTTTCTGTGTATGTTATATGCCTGTGGAGGTCCAGAGGACAACATGCAGTAGTACTCAGTTCTCTCTTTCACCAAATGGATCTTGGTGACATCAAGCTTGATATCAAGTGCTTTAACCTGCAGAGTCATCTTGCCTACTCTTGTTTCAATTTTCTTAATTTTCATATTTTACCCGTTCTTAATAAAATAACTCAAGCCTTCCCATGTTGATGTTTCTCTCATTATGCTTATAGACCTTGAATGGTTTTCAATTCTACTAATTTTTAATTCTCTAATTTACTAGATACTACTTGTAAATTACCTGTCTTGCTCATATTTTGTTTCACTGTTTCTACAGCTTTATTTAAGTTTTCACACGATAACAGAAATTAGAATTTCTCTACACAGCCTTCCAAATACCATAAAAAGGCCGATAACTTACATGTACAGCCAAGATCACAGAATCCTGCAATCTACACACAAATGTGGAAACAGGAACTGTAACCCACAGTGTGCCCAGAAGCTCACATTTAAGCAAAGTCAGATGCACATTTTATATTTCAGAGCACTATACATAGACAGCATGGAAATGTCTCCTTGCTCCATTCTAGAAGGCAGGACTCACCATAAGCAGTATTTGGTAAATCATAGCACTGTGAATGACAGAGTCCCAAAGCAAGGACTGGGAATGGTTATGAGCAGACACAGTTTCTGAAAGAGAGGGGAGTGCTTTGAAAGAAGAGGTGTTTCTTGGGGGCTCATGGCCAAGAAGAAAGAGTTCCATTGAGTTAACAGAAGAGAACTGCTCAGCCACTGAACATACCTGCATCTGACAATCACTGCAGGCAGGATTTGTTTCCACTCTAGAGATTTCAGTCCACAGCTGGATTTCTCTATTACTGATATGTCTGTGATGAAGTGGACACGTGGCAACATGACTGTGTGTGTTGTAATTTAAAAAGCAGCTCAAGAGAGAAAGACACCATGCAACAGAGTTCAAGTGGAGGGGTTTTTTTTTTTTTATTAAGGGTGAAGGATGGTAAAAGGAAGCCCAGTGAATGTGCACAGGTGGCACTCAGTGGCAGCAGCTGAGGGCGTATCCTGTCAGAACTCCAAAGGCAGGCCAGTCCAGGTGCCTAAATACTAATAATGTGGCCCAGAAAACTATTTACTTCATAGTGACCAGGCACCAGAGCAAGAATGTCTACCCGCTGGCACCCCCCTTCCACTCCCTCCTTGTATTCTGTACAGGTCCCCAGCATGCTGGAGGGTAGTGTCTCCACTTAGGATCTTCATCACTTATCTCTCTGGAAACACCCTCTCATTCAGAAATGTGCCTTACTAATTCCTAGGCATATTTCTGTAACACAAATAATATAAACCCAGATTGGGGTTTAAGCTGAAGATCAGAAAAGCAAAGCAGCCAGCCACTAGCTCTTAACCTCTACCTCGGGCTGAAAGGGTTGTCCTGTCCTCAGTGTGGCTGGAGACTAATGGCCTCATGAGATCCTTTGCTTCTTTCTTTCATACCTCTCAAATCCTGGGATTAAAGGTGTGGGATCCCAAGTTCTGAGATCACCTTTGTGTGAGCTGTTTCTATTTTAGACTGGATCAATTCCGTGTAGCTCTGAGTGGCCTTGAACAGAGATCTGTCTGCCTGTCTCCTGAGTCCTGGGGTTAAAGGTGTGTGTCACTACCGCCTAGCTTTTATAGCTAACTAGTGTGGCTGGCTTTGCATTCTGATACTTCAGGCAATCTTTATTAAATCATAAATGATATATCACCACATATTTCAACCCAATTAAGTCAACAATCAATATTTATAATAATATCTACCTCATGAGGTTTTGTTGTTGTTTGCAGGGGAAAGGGAATCAAATGGATCTATATGTGTAAAATGCTTATAATAGTGCCTGGTAATAGATACTCATAGTTAGATATTAGTAAATCTAGTATTGCTAAACACTGAACTGAACTCTGGAAACCAGCTGCACAGAGGGAGGAGTGATGAGCAAAGAGGTCAAGACCCAGCTGGTGAAACCCACAGAAACAGCTGCCCTGAACAAAGGGGAGCTCATGGACCCTAGACTGATGGCTGGGAGGCCAGTATGGGACTGATCCAGACCCCTGAATGTGGATATCAGTGAGGAGGCCTCGGCACTCTATGGGGCCTCTGGTAGTAGATCAGTATTTATCACTGGCATATGAAAGGACTTTGGGAGCCCATCCCACGTGGAGGGATGCTCTCTCAGCCTGGACACATGGGTAAAAAAAAACAGTGAAAGCATTTAAGAAAATGATCTAAAAAGCTGTTGTAGATTACATTTTCATCCCACTTATTTGGGCATATTATTTCTTCACAAAAGCAGAAGCAAAAATTGATATATATTTTTATAATAACCACCACAGAACCACTAAGTGATACTACTGATATTACAACTATATATTTATGGCATTATAAAAATGTAGATATTTAATCTGCACCTTGTATTTTAATTTCTGGATTATTATTCCATTACAATGCTACATTGAAATCAGCATTTTCCTATCATACCGGTTTGGCCTGCGGTTTGTTGACACCTGTATTACCACCATCTTCTTCTTCTTTCCAAAGAGATGGACTAAAAAGAGAACGACAGATTGGAAAGTCATGTGAAAACTTGATTCCATGAGTATTAGTGCCTAAATGTCCATATAAGAATGTTTGCTTTCATGTTATACACACAAACATAACTTGGAAGATGTTTAAATACAAATCTAGATGGTGGCTTGTATCAGTAGTCCTAACGTTTTCCCTGGATGAAGCAGAGGGTTACTTGAATCTAGGAGTTCAAGACCAGCCTGGGCATCAGGCATCATAGTGCGACTCTACCTCTTATTTAAAAAAAATCATGCTGGGCTATGAATTTTCTCCCAAACCCATGAATAGTCAACATAAACTATATTTAATATGAGTAGTAAAATAAGACACCATTATGGATCTAAGGCAAGGTTAAAAATAATTAGAAATTTTAGGAACATCAATTCTTTTGTGAATACAATTCTTTTGCTTATACAATTGTTGCTTAATCTGAAGAGTGTAATCTAAATTGTTGTATAAATACATTTCTTTCCTTATACCCCAGATTAGGGTATGTGTAATTGCCATTTGCGCTAATTACCTTTTTACATTCCCAAAACAATTACTTGACTCTTCCAGTGACCCTGGCAACTCGGAACTCCCACCGTGATTTTGTGCAGTCTGGCTTTCCTCAGCTGATGCTTATGTTCACGCATGGCAAATCATAGGAAAATATTAAGAAAATAGTAAAATGAGCATTGTTTTCATATGCATGCTATAACTTTATCCCATGAACTTTGCAAACACAAAGGCATATTTTCTGGAATGAGTTTCACAAAATATTAGTTCAGATGACTAAAAGATTCTTGAGTGAACTCAACTGATCACACACCCTCAGCAACAACACCAAGATGCACGTGTGCACACAGGCTACTCTCTATTTCTCTACAATATTTCTCTATTGCACCATGAATCTGGAAGGGGAGATGAGTTTAGGTTTTATCAGCTTAGTCTTCATAAAACTTTTTTTCTAAAGACCCTTTTGAAATGATTGGAGAAACCTATTTAAGAAAATGCTGATATGAAAATAGAAGGAAACTTTTATATATACTTTCATTTATAAAATCTCCCATTGTTTAAGTAGCAATTCTTGGGGCTGGAGAGATAGTACAGCAGTTAAAGATCATTGACCACTCTTTCAGAACATCCAGGTTCAATTCCCAGCACCCACTTAATAGCTTACAGCCACCAAGGGGTCTAGTGTCTTCTTCTGGCCTCTGGGGCACTGGCATACACATGGTATCCAGACATACATGCAGGCAAAACACCCATACACAGAAAATAATAATTTAAAAATAAATTTTTGAAAAATTTAAATAACAGTTCTTTTTCAAATATGTCTTAATTAGCACTAATGTTCTATTTATAAAGATCCATGGGCCTAACTGATAATGTAGATGTTTGTAGATTATCTCCCCTAGAAATCATTATTTAAAAATCTATTTAAACAAGTAAGCCAAATTAGTATTTTAAAAGTCACTTTACAATGTTTGTCAAGTCATTTTGTGGGGGCTGGTGAGATGGCTCAGCAGTCAGGAACACAGGCTGCTCTTCCAGAGGATCTGGGTTTGATTTCCAGCATTCACATGGTGGCTCACAACCACCTGTTAAATCTTATCCCAGGGGATCCAACGCCCTCTTCTGCCCTCCTTGGACACTGAATGAATGTGGTGCACAGACATACATGTAGGCAAAATACCAACACACACAAACAAAAACCTTTTTTCAACTTGAAGCTATGTCTCTTTAATTTTAACTATCATCTTTCCCAGTTGACATTGACAAAGTCAAGTGAATGGGAATTTTTCAAAATGATCTAATTAATGTTAAATGAATAAAAACTGGAATTAACAGCTGCTTAAAAATAGCAGTAAAACACCACTCTGGTTACCTACCCCCAGCAAAGAAATGATAATGCAAAACCTTGTAGATTTGTAGGTCCATTCTGGTAGGGATATACGACATATTTGACATTTCTGCCATCAGCACAAAGTAGGGCAACATGTATTATTTATGTAACTTCATAACATTAAATCTATTTTGATGTTTACTCTTGAAAAATTATAGACTGTTCCTGAAAATATACAGATTCACAGAAAAGGGAATAACTGTGAAACTAAGTTTTGTACTGTGAGTTGTTGGTGGCAAAGTTTAGAGTTATTTAAGCACAGAAATGGCATGTGACAGCATAGAGTATTAGCAATGTACAGAGTTTTTAATCAATAGTGAAAAGTCAATATCGTCTAGTCCAGCGCTATGAACACAGCAGGCATGACCTCACCACGCCCTTCTCTAAAGCGGGTTAGTGCTGAAGCACACTCCCAAGCCTTACAAGTCCCCAGCTTCAATCCCAACTGCCATTTTCCTAGATCAGGCCTCTAGTGCCTAAGTCTATTCTTCTTATTGCTACCTAAATTGTGTTTCTAGAACTGAACTCCAGTCCTGTCCTCTAGTTCAACACTCCAGGTGGCTGCCGCTGTCCCCTGAATTCTTTAGCTTGTCCAGATTCTTAGACCCTTTCCTACCTCCCCAGAAATACAAGCACAGGCACATGGCCACCTCTCTCCTCATGCTATATGGTATTAAATGCTTGAACAAACCAAACCCCACTAAGGAAACCCTGAAAATTCCACCCACAGCATGATCATGAAGGAAGGATTCTGGAGGTATTCTTGTTAGCATTTAACAAGTTTCAGATTAGGGGTATTTGGATTTTGGAGTACTGGACTTCAAATCATATTAGGGATATCCATGTCTCTCTCTCCCCCTTTTAACACACCTGCTAAACACACATTTTTCGTGTTCTCATCAGCCAAGCTTTTCTAGGAAGGATAATTCACATTCAGGATACTTAACAGGGTGAATTACAAGGAAAGAAACAATCTTAGGTCTTTTCTTCTACACAAAATAAACTAATAGAATATTTCTAAAAAATCCTTTGTATATTAACCTAAATGATTTATAAAAATGATAAATTCCTTCTTGTTGGATGAAAAGAAATGCAAATGCAAATTTATTGCTATGACAATAAATAGCCATATTACTAACCCAAATAGAATTGATGAGTCAAAATATACTGCTTGAAAGTTTCAAAAATATATTTGGCTAAGCATAAACTTTGGATTGCTATACTAACCGCAGCGTATTGACACAAACTTCTCAATGAAGAGACAGATACACAGTTCATGGATAGCAAGGCATGGTGGTGTTCATGGTTTCACAGGAGGCTTGTGGCTCTGGTGGCATTTGCTTGTCACATGGAAATGACCAGAAAGCCAAGAACTTGTAGAAGCACAACTGATTTACAAACCCTGCTGCACCTATGGCCTAGGTCCTGTTGTGGACTAATCTTTTGGATGTGTCACTCTGTGTGACTTAAGAAAACCCTAAATGGCCAATAGCTCGGCAGGATTTCCGGGCAGAGAGGACGCTGGGAAGAAAAAGGCAGAGTCACCTGCCAGAAGTGGTAGAACCAGGATGGGTATAATGGAGATGAGGTAATGAGCATGTAGAAGAACATGGACTAAAAAATCTAGGTTGGAAACAAGCCTAAGCTGAAGGCTGAGCTTTCGGAATAATAAGTCTCTGTGTAATTTTTTTTTTTTTTTTTTTTTTTTTGGGGAGCTGGTGGCCCAAAGAAAAATTCATCTACATATGGCATCCATTGTGTAAGACTAAATATCCAAACATAGGGCCTAAGAAAGCTAAGAAAAGTTCTGGACAAGGAGCTGAACGCTCTTTCCCAGTCCTGGAGTCTGGTGGCATACTGAAGTGTGGCTACCAGCTGTTGCCGGAAGGCTGGAGCCAGCCACCAGCACCATATGCCAGCGGCATGCACTAAACTGAGCCAGGCTAGTGTCTGACAGAGCAGTTTAAGATTTGTCTCACAGGGCTGAAGAAATGGCACAGTGGTTAAGGGCACTGGTGGGTCCTGAGTTCAATTCCCAGCAACCACATGGTGGGATCCCACTATAGTGGGATCTGATGCCCTCTTCTGGCATTAAGGAGTACATGCCGTTAGAGCACTTATATACATAAATAAAATCTCTAAAAAAAGATTTGTCTCGCACGATCAGAGGACACTGCAGATGCTCAGCAAAGACTGATCCAGATGGAAAAAAAGATTAGTGTGCTTAAAAAATGTGTGTAGGCTTAAAAAGTGAAACGATACTAGTTTATAAATAATAAGATAAAATCTTTAAAGAGAGAATAAAATAATACAAAAAGTATAAACCATGTAAAGGTGAAAAATGCACAGACAAGAGATTCTGGATCCTGTATAGTAGTGTTTGAATTTAGAGATTTTTGAATGCTAATGAACAGAGAATGAGAGCTGCTGAGAGACATTGGATTATGGAAGGGATTGCTGAATTAAACCAGCCTAGATACTTTAGGAGTGCCTTAACTTTAAAATGGAAGTCAGAAAACATATTGCTTTGGGGAAGATGTTATGCTTTTGTTCCACAGAAAATCAAAGGCTGTGGATTTATTCAAGGTTGATAAAGATCAGATTTGATGGGGGGAGACCCCCCTGAAAATCTTGGCTACAGACATAAAGAAATAAACTTAAAAAGCTACAAGACACGTGATGTATATTTTACCTGATCAAATATACACAAAAAATCATCTTTAACTGACTTGTGCACACTGTACATTTCATACTCATATTAATACATACACACATACATACATACATACATACATACATACATACATACATACATGTTACCTTTGAAAGTTTGTTTTCAGAGTAAGGGGACCAAGCACCAATTAAAACGGGTGGCCCAGGGTATCTAGCCTCTCAGAGTTTGCAGTTTCCTCAGAGTTCTACATTCAGAACAGCTTCGAGTCTGCTTCTTGTGGAAAATTATTTTAAGGTGTGTTACATTTGTTTATGCTATGAAACATTTGTTTAATGATGTAAAGATGTGTTGCTTTTGTTTATGTTGCATTTGTTTAACTCTGTGAAGCTGTGCTTCTCTGCCTGTCTAAAACACCTGATGGACTAGTAAAGAGATGAACGGCGACTAGCAAGGCAGGAGAAAGGATAGGCAGGGCTGGCAGGCAGAGATTATAAATATAAGGAGAACTCTGGAAAAAAAAAAAGAGAACGATAGAACAAAGAGAGGAAGACATCAGGAGCCTAGCCATCCAGCCACCCAGCAAGATACATAGTAAGAGTGAAAGTAAGATTACAGACTTAAGAAAAGGAAAAAGCCCAGAGGCAAAAGGTAGTTGGGATAATTTAAGAAAAGCTGGCTAGAAACAAGCCAAGCTAAGTCCAGGTATTTATAAGTAATACTAAACCTCTGTGTGTGATTTGGGAGTTGAGTTGCAGGCCTCCCAAAAGAATAAAGAGCAAAAGAAAGAATAGTAAGAGTAAAAAACAAACTAGTACAGCTACTGGATGAGACCGTCCAGCCCCATAGACTACTCCAGTCAGGACTGCTGCATATAAGCCTCACACTTTCCCACTGCTCAGAGATGGAACGACAAACACTATGGCTGCTTTTCCCAGGACTTGACCATTATCTCAAATTTCTCTGGGTTCACTAAACATGCTATCACCCACAGACAACAGGAAGCAATCTAGAGAATACAATACCCACATTCCCAAGAGGCAGGGTGGGTGGTTTCTGGTTATTTGGTGGGTTTTGGGTGGTTCATTACAATTTGTTACAGTTATGGTCAGAGAGAAAGTTAAACAAAGGAGTATTAGATTCAGGGATCTCCTTTTGAAGGGAAAAGGGCAATATAGTACCAAAATCATGGGATAAAATGGGTGGAGTGTTGAGTCTACTTTTGAACAACAAATATTTTACAATGGTATGGATTTTTTATACTGATACAAATTTAAGGTTATTTTTGTTAGGCTGTATATGTTTCTATCATTGCTTACTGTACCTATGCAGTTCATTTAAAAAATGTAATATAAAATTTTAGTCCTTGAAAGCTATTTATGATAACAAAGAAATACAGGTTAGTAGTCATGTAAAACAGACTTATAGTCATGTTAGGTATGTTTTCAAGGTCAAAAAAATGTATTTTAGATAGATAGGTGATCTTCAAACACTTCAAAGACCTACAGAATATGGCATTTAAAATGTTTTAATAACACAAGGCTTTTCATGACAGTGAGACACCGTCTGTTCCTGGCAGCACCAATTTACTTCAACAAAGGATGATGGGCATTAAAGAACCTCCATATGGAGTTTGTTTTCTTTGTGGTAAAAGGTAGTCACTGGTCAAGAAACTGCCCTTGCCTCAACTGCTAACAGTATGTTGTCCAAACTGAACGAGGACACAAAAGAAGGCAACTGCCGAAGGACAATACATCAAAATTCCTGCTTCACAGAAAAATCTGTCAGATACTCTAGGCTGGCCCATTGGCCAAAGATGGATTCCACAATGATACAGAGGAATCCTGAGGTGACTGTCCAGGTAGCCAGAGGTCTGTCATTTCGTAGACATAGGTCCTCTGTCATTGGAAGTTGCTTTCTCTGCATTTCCTGTTTACTCAAGTAACATTTTATCCTTCTTGGGGTCTCTGATGGGGATTGAAGACTAGTTAGTTTTACAGTTTTCCTTGTTACCAAATTCAGAAAAGAAACATAAGAGATCTAAAGTTAATCAGGTTGAGAAGCATAAAAGCTTAATTTGTTTATCTAAAAAGATGTTTTAAGGACTACAAAGGTATTTTTAGGATAGTAATACAAATTATGAAAAAAAATGGTTTAGGTATAAAACTTTGGACTAAGATAGGATAATGGAGTATTTTCTCTAAATTTGCCAAATACAAATGGACTTGACATTATGAATGCAATTCTTACCTGTTCTTATTGTATATAGTTTTACTATGTTAGTTAATACCTTTCCTTTTTATTTAGACAAATAGGAGGAAATGTTGTGGATTAATCTTTTTGGACACTGTGAAGATGTGTCATTCTGGTTGGTTTAATAAAATGGTGAATGGCCAACAGCTCTGCAGGGTTTCTGGGCAGAGAGGATGCTGGGAAGGAGGCAGAGCTGCTAGCCAGCCAAAGGCAGGATGACCAGGATGGACATAATGGAGATGAGCTAATGAGAGTGTGGAAAAATAGATTTAAAACTATGGGTAAATTTAAGTTAGAAGAGCTAGTTAGAAACAAGCCTAAGCTAAGGCCACGTTTTCCTAATTAGTAAGAAGTCTCCATGTCATTATCTGGGACCTAGCTAGTGGGACAGATGACTTGTTACAAGGTCCCACATCCACAACTTCCGAAAACAACTCCACCAGCTGGGGAACAGGTGTTTACACACATGTGCCGTGGAGTACATTCATAATCAGGCTATAACACTGGACCTCCCACCAGCTGGGGAACAGGTGTTTACACACATGTGCCGTGGAGTACATTCATAATCAAGCTATAACATTGAACCTCCCACCCCCACAGCCTCATGGCCTAAAGGTTCCTCAAATATTCTAAAACAGAACCAGCATCTGGGGACAAAATCTTCAAATACATGGTCTTACAGAAATATTTCATATTCAACTATAATATTTGGAACATATGTCAAAATTTTGACAAATTACTTCTGAGTAGTAGAATCTTTATTAATCTTTATTCTTGATACACACTTCAGTTACTGGAACTTTAAGAACAAGCATGCATTATAGTGTCACATTTAAATTGTATGGGTTTTTTGTTTGTTTTCTAGAAAAGCACCAAAAATTAAGCCCATTTGAGAACCACACCTGTAGGCTGGAAGATGGGTTGGCTGGTAAAGGCAGTCGTCAAATCTGACGACTTGAGTTTAAATCTCTGGATCCAGCATGGTGGAAGGAAAGACCCCACTCCCATTCTTTTCTGACCCCCCACATACACAGAGACACAAAAATGTAAAATACAAAATGACAGACTTTGAGAGATATGTGTAATTTAGCATTCCCACCAAGTTTTAAAAAGTTGTGTGCAGTTACCATAATTGGTGTAGAGTGTGAAATCTGACACAACTCAGAATGTGAGACAGAGCAACTGCTCCTTGATTGGCTGCTCCACCTGAGCCACTCAGAAATACTGCCTGTTACTGCGATGCTTTCCATTGTTCGTTCCCATTAGTGTTTAGGAGGCTATCAAGAATGAAAAGGAGAGATGCACCAAGATGAAGATTCTGTCTTACGACATCAACTAATACTAAATATTAGCAGAGGAAATTTCAAGACAAAGTGATAAGTTTGAAATACCATCTGGTGTAGGATAAATTCAGATGCAATGCCCTATAGCTGTAATGGATGTTTCCACTGGTTTGGGAGAGGTGCATTTCACTTACACTTAGCATACTTAGTTTTGCCTTGCATATCTTCTTAGTCCATGAAATAGGATGAAAATGGTCAACTGACATTTTTCTAAACAGCTTTGTTTATTTTTCATTTTAATGAAAGCATTTTGGTCATCTGCCACTTTGCATGCATGTGACTGTGTGTGTGTGTGTGTGTGTCGGGGCAGCAGTGTGTCTGAGTGTGTCTACACGTGTAGTCAATCTTGAATGTCCTTCAAGCGCCCTCTACTACTTCTGTGTGTGCTTTTGTGTTTGTGTGGATATGTGCATTAGCCCAGGTGCCTAGAAGGCCACAAGGGGGTATCAGATCTAGGCTGTAGTTAAAGGCATTTGTGATAGCCTGATGTAGAAGCGAGAATTCAAACTCAGGTCCTCTGCAATAACAGTAAATGCACTTAACCTGAGTCACCTCTCCAGCTCCCATCACTGTGTTTTTGAGACAGGGTCTCTCCCTGGCTTACAGCTCACCAAGCAGGCCAGTCTAGGTAGGCTAGTAAATCTCAAGGCTCCACCTGTCTCTGACTCCCCAGTGCTGGGGTCCAAGTAAGTGCATACCATCATGCCCAGCTTTTGTTTGTTTATTTTTTTAATGTGGATACTGTGTGCTGAATTAGAGTCCTTATGTTTGAAGTCTAACACATTACATTCTGAGTTGCCTCCCTGGCCCTTATTTCATTTTTAATTGAGTATTTCACTGTTTTTCTTTCCCACCTGTACATTTATAAGCTCCAATTGAACTACATATTTCCTTGTATCTTCTGTTTGTAAGGTTGTATTTGCCCCAAACTCACACACATTGGCTTGACAGCTCATATTTACTACATATAATAAACTCTTTGTTTTCCCATTTAGTTGCAATCACCTTCTTCTTTCCAAGTATTTTCCAACACACTTGGATCTCCAGGTTCATCCTTGGATAAAGTTATACTATCTGGTCTGTGGATTGTTCCATTAATCTCTGTTGTAGCATCATTATTACTGTGCTGTTCATCTAAAGTAACTGTTGATGATGCTGAATAAACATTTCCTAAGTGATCTATTACAGGAAGCAAATATAATTCTGGTTGAAGAGCCTAAAACACAGGAAATTTTTTTTATATAAAGTCAAACCAACAAAATCTACTTTCAGTTTTAAAATCAGTTAAGCTTAAGATCGTAGTACATACATATGGAGGAGCAAATGATTTGAGTTTCAGTTCTGATTCTTGCTTTTCCTTCACCTAGATTTAAATTCATAAGAAAAAATTAAATCTTTGATATTATTTTTCAATATTTTTCTGTGATTTTCTATGGAAGACATACAGCATATCAATAAAATAGTAACTGTTGCTAGATCACAGAAACTGTAGAATCCAATCCTACTTCTAGTCACTGAACCAAACATAAGCCAAATTCTATGTCTTTTAATAATAATTATGGTAATCATTTCCATGGGAATCAGTGTGTGTCTGGTACTATTCTGTGTGCAGTACATAAATTAGCTCAGTTAATCTTTTCAATTTCATGAGATGGATATGAACATCATCTCTAATTTACAGATAGGGATATAGAGGCATAAAGAATTAAGTAACTTGCTCAGATCATGTAACTGGCTATAATCTGTGCCCACAATGTCTTCCCACTTCTCAATGAGGGTAAAGTAATTTTTATTAAAGGATCTAATCATGCTATTCATTTGCTCAAAAACTCCAAGGCTTCAGAAAAAAATCACTAAATATTCATCTGGCATTCAAGACCTTCAGAGTGTACTTTTTAATTGGTTCTCTACCTTGCCCTTCCTGCTTCTCGGCACAGTTAATATAACAAAAGATAATCTATTCTTTCTGGGTTGCCTGACTTTCTACTTCCCTCACCATTGCCTTTGCTCAGAAATCTTGTCTCACCCTTCATTCTTTACAAGATCAAATAATATCTTTCCATATCCAAGACTGAGTATCATTTTTCCCTCAGTATCCCTCACCTACCCTCTTTTTCTTATGGAAAATCTCACTTTCTTCACTATATAAAGTATGACATCTGAATTATTCATGTTCCATAATTTACTCTGACCACTACACTGAGTGCACTGTAAGGGCAGGCTCCATGTTATCATTATATGCAGTAAAATGCTAATAAATATTACAAACGTTTTAGAGTTTCACCTAAATTATTCCATAGTATGTGAAGGAACTGATTTTATAAACATTTAAGAAATGTAATTTGATAATGTAGACTTTACTTAGAAGGAAGAAGCAAGAAAACTTACCACAGCTAAGTTATTTCCAATGCATTTCAGAAATAAAAACTTTTCTGCAACAGCATCTACACCAAGAAACTCACCAAGGCGCTCCCTCAAAGCTTGTAAAGTAAGTTGAGGTGATACTCTGAAATACCATGATATTGTTTTAAATACATTTTGAATATATTAATCAATCAGCAGGTCAAGTCAGTTAAATGTAAATACTAATTTAGTGCATTAAATATAATTTAATGTCTTATGTTTCTGTACTGCCTCCAGCTTTTTGTTTCAAGCGATTAGTTTTCAAAACATGATTAAAAATCTATCTTTTAGAATTGTACAAATGAATATGGATTAAAATGATTTTTGTATTGAAAAGGAAATGTCTGTTTTTCTAATCTACATCCAAGTTTTATGATTTAAAAAAAACTTGGAATTTATATGTTTTCCCAAAAATATTATTATTGTGTGAAGATGGAGTTTCTGTCCCATCTGGTCCTGCAGCTGTTTAATCCCAAATAAACACACAGAGGCTTATAAGAATTATAAACTGTTTGGCCAATGGCTTAGGCTTCTTGCTGGCTAGCTCTCTCTCAATTATTAACCTGCAACATTAATCTATGTATTTCCACATGGCCTCATCTTACCAGAGAATGCCCTGGATCCTACCTTCCCAGTAGTTACATGGTGTCTCCCCAGTGGCTCCTCTCTACCTCCCTCTTCCCAGCCTTCTCCTAGTCTGGTAGCCCTGCCTATACTTCCTGCCTGGCTACTGACCAATCAGCATTTATTCATCAATCAATAAGAGAAACACATATTCACAGCATACAGAAGGACATCCACCATCAATTGTGTATGGGTGTGCATACCACAGTGTAGAAAGATCAAAGGATACTTTGTGGCATTGGTTCTCCCCTTCCACATTTATGTGGGTTCCAGGAACTGAACTCATGTCGCTAGACGTGTGTGGTAAGTACTCTTAGTTGTTGAGCAATCTCAGCAGCTCAGGACTGTGTATAATAACTATATGTAATGTGTTTTAGAACAGAAGGGAATCAGTGTGACTGGGAAAAGTGATGGGGAATTTTAAGGGGTGAGATACCCTCAAGGGGAAAACAAAGAGCCAGATCACATAGTGTCATGACTATTTGAATGAAACAGACCACCCTATAGTTTTATTCCTTAAAACAATTATAAAGGCCTCATCAATTACTGTTCACAGTTTAACTGGTTTTGAGTTTTAGATAATTTCTGTTACTTTTGTGTATAATCTTAGAAATAAATTATACAGTTTTCTGAGCATTAGAAGTATTCTGAGTAGGTGAAGTCTGTTCCTCCAGCAATGTTAAAGCTTATGTGTTTATTGCATCTCTGGGGATTACACCTGGTAGTTCATTATCACCCTGCTCTGCTCCTGACCTACTTCACTCGAATTACACAGTACTGCTTAGTAACAGCGTTTATTGAACTAGGAATGGATCTTCAAATCAACAAGGCATTTTTCATTTAGAAGATTTTCAATTTTCATGGCTATAAAACACTTGCCTTATAAATCCAGCAGAAATACATTTGTTAATAACTTCTATTGAAATAGTATTTAATTTATAGTTCCACGATCCTTCAGGGACATAAAAAACATGAAGTTCCACCAACTGAATAAGAAAAATAGCAGTTAAAATTTTTCTAAAGTAGAAAAAGAATCAATTTATTATACAATTTTAAATTAGATAAACACAACTGAAATATAGAATGTATGAACTCATATGAACAAATGGCAATACAAAAATTTGTTAAGTTGACCACTTGATACTTGGTGCACATTTTCCTTTGAAATAATACCTGTTGGTTCACAGCTCACTCAACACCTTTGATAAATGACATTCTTTCTGTGGCATCCAGTAAGAATATTAGACAGTATTTTTCCTTCCTTCCTTTTTCTTCCTTTCTCCCTCCCTCCCAACAGAAGTTTAACAGGCTCCAGGGTAACACTTTGTTGTGTCTTTAAGTGTCAAAAGATGTTCTGGCAGGGAATCCAAATGTTTAAATAGGAATTCACTACTTCCTTCAGTACAGAGATAGCTTATTTTTGCCAGACTTCTTAATTTCATCTGCGGTCAGGGGGCCTTCCTCACAGCCTTGACTTTTAGCTCCTCAAGTTTCTTCTTTGACTGTGCTTGAGAGCCTTGCCTTCCTCATCCATCCCTTGCCCTATATCTTGTGCTGTTTTCAGGGGCTTCTTTTTGCCCCCTTTGTGGTTTCTTCCCCAAACTCTGATCATAAGTCAGAAATGGAGATGGTGTTTTCTTATTGCTAGCTTTTATCCCTCACCTCCATCCTACATTCTCAGTTTCTTTAAAGTGACCTCATAGAATCCTTACCCTTTGTATACTGTCCGCCTCTTAAGAGTTTTGGGGATTGCAGCCCCACAGTGGCAATCAAAAAGCTAATACTGTGGTTTGGGGAGCATGTGTGTTCCCTGGAGATCTAGGAAGAATCTATTCTTGATGTAGGGCTGACTATTAGTTTAGCTTGTTTGTGCTTGTGCCAAACTACATACTTAAAAAAAAAAAAAAAGAGAAAAACTTACTCAATGACCTATGTCTCTAATTAGTATCCCATTTAAAATTTGGATTATTACAACAAAAACAGTAATTATAGCAGAGTCTCATGTTCTTTAGTCTAGGAAAGGTTGATATCCACTACACATTAACAGTCAAAGGACTTAACTAATTAAACTCTTAACTGAAACAGTAAATATCTGGGAACTTTAAACTTTTGAATAAGGAGCCAGAGAGACAGCTCAGTGGTTAAGAGAACTTGTTGCTCTTCAAGGGGATCCAAGTTTGGTTTCCAGCATCCACATGCCTGTATCTCCCGTTTCTGGCGATCCAACACTGTCCTCTTGGATACACACACACACACACACACACACACACACACACACACACACACAGAATAAAACTTCCACAATCACGTAAAGTGTCTTTTTTGAATAAGATGTTATCAAAATTAGTAGTTTTAATAGGAGTAAAATGGTTCTTAACTGAAGGTTTTGCTTAAGATGTTTTAGAAACCAAATAAATCATGCCTATACTATTGATGATTAAACATTACCAATGACTTGGATGTTTGGCATATGCTAATTTTTAAGAACAGAACATTTAAATGCTATTCCCTAGTTAGAAATAAGTTAATTATGACTTTATCTAACAAACATATTAATATTTCCTGAATAAGTGTCTATATTCATGTTTAAAAGGAACACATGTAATTTTTTTATAATTTTAATGGCTGAAAAATTGAACATTTTAAATGTGTAAGTTAAATATTATATTCTTTCAAAATACCACCTTATTCTAATATTATACTATAGTGGGAAATTACCAATACAGAGTCAGGTAGAAATATAAGGGTATTTAATAGGGAAAAGCCTTACTTACAGAGCAACCTAGCCAGCTGGCGTGGTAGAGGTCTGTACAGCAAGAAGCAAAGAGAGCCCGAAACCGAAAAACGCAGTCCCACTACGTCACTCTGACCACGCCCTCACAAGCCTGGTAAGGCACACCTGTAGCCAGCCCCTAAGAAGGCGTGGCTACAGCTTCCCCTACATTATACTCCTGTCTTAATAGCAAATAACTCAACAATATTTTTCATTAAAACCATTAACCATTTAAAAACACATTAACCTGGGCAGTGATGGCACAAACCTTTAATCCTAGCACTTGGAAGGCAGAGGCAGGCATAGCTCTGTGAGTTTGAGTCCAGTCTGGTTACAGAGAAAGTTCTAGGACAGCCAGGGCTATACAGAGAAACCCTGTCTCGAAAAACCAGCCAACCAATCAACAAACTAAACCAAAACCAAAACCGAAACACATTAAAAGATATCTATATAGGTCTCATATTTTTTTCCTTTTGGATTAGATTTCAAAGTAGCATGATGATATCAGATCTTCTCTCTCTTTAAAGTCCTTCTAAATTATCACAAATGTTTAAATATCTACAATTTACATAAAAGTTAACATTTTCCCATGTTTATTCTTTCTTCTTTCCTTTTTTAAGCAGGATCTCATACAGCCTACACTAGCCAAGAACTCACTGAACAGTGAGGATAGACTTTAACTCTCCATCTTCCTGCCTCTGTCTCCCAAGTGATAGGATTACCAGTATTCACCACCATGTCTGTCATGCCCTCTCTTTATTGACAGAATAAAGTAAATATGGTATCATGACTTCATATCAGATTGGGCTGTTACACAGGGAAACCATGTCTCACCAAACAAAAGAAGCAATGTGAAGGAATACTATCAAGGAAGAGAAGGGCTAATGATGTCAGCTGTTGTACTCAATCAGATCATGTATGTTTAGAAGAACTAACTAATAAATTTCCTGATAAAGAGGTGAATTTAACAAGAGCAGGCTTGTGAAAAGTGGGAGCACAATTGGGGTAGATCAAGAACAGGAAGTTGTTGGTAGTTTAAGGAGGTACAAAATGCTTGTACAAAACAATTAGTCAGTAAGTAACACATAGCATGAAAACCTTCCAGCAAACACTCCACTTGAGACTCATGGTCATGAATTTAAAGTGAAAATGGTCCTTATACTTACATATTCTTCCTCAAGTCTTCAGGAAGATAGGTGGAAAATATATTCACTAGGGTTGTTGTTTAACAAGGAGATAACAAATGTCCAAACTATGAGGTCAGAGTGATCCTGTGTCCTATAAAAGTTACGCTAAGTCTGGAGAGCATCACCAGTTGAGAAACAGTAAAAAGAGTGATAAGACTCTTTTTACTGTTTTTTTTTGTTTTTTGGTTTTTTTTGCTGGTCATAATAGAGAAAGTGGGTAGAGATGCAAGAAGCATAATCACATAATCTGAGAATGTGATATGAGAAGTTGGGATCATGGTAGAATCAGCATCTTACATTTTATGTCATTCCTATTTTTTCACAATCAATGGTAGGCCTGGTTTTCTTACCTCTGATGAAGAAGGTCGACTTGGATTGAGTGACATATTGACCAGTGTCTCAATAGATAGTTACCAGGTGGAGTTTGGATGTTTTATATATCTTTCTTCATTTAAGCAGCATTAAATAAGTGTTTAAATAGATTTTTGGCTTAAGATAGCATTCCAGCTATTTCTGGTCTCTGATGTGTTCAAAGAGTAAAAAAAGAAAAACATAAAGGCTTTAATACAAACCTAAAATATAAGCTTAGAAATGTATGCAATCTTATTATCCTCATTTAAAAAGACATTAAACACTAAGTAGTCTGGTGGTTCTAAGAAAATGTACACTTTGTAGAGACATCTTCCTCAACTTAGGATGGTGTGGACGTGATACTGTCCTTGAATTGTAGAATTGTTGTCTCTTCTTGAACTAACAATATGTGGCTGGATAGTTTCTTGGAATGCTAGGCATTAACAGTAAGCCACAGCTCTTCTGTCAGTTACAGATGACAGCAGAGAGCACTCTTGCTAAGCTACAAAATTCAGTACATTAGTTGAAATAAATGCATTTTATTTTCAACTTATAATGGAGCCCCATGCCAGTCAAGGGTAATAAACTGTTAATTACATTATGATGGCTTTTTGACAAGCACATGGTTTACTAAACAATTCATTTTTATAGGTCAAAATTTTATACATAATGTAGAAATATATTTTTACAAGGGGAAAGCCTGAATGTATATTGATGGCCATTGAATGATGAAAACTCTTTTTCTTATAACTATTTTTTAGGACATAGAATAAATGTAAGCAATCATTCTAGTTGAAAATACTAGTCTTGGGCCAGGTATTGGTGGCGAACAGTTTTAATCCCAGCACTCGGGAGGCAGAGGCAGGCAGATATCTGTGAGTTCAAGGTCAGCCTAGTCTACACAGTGAGTTTCAGGACAGGCTCCAAAGCAATACAGAGAACCCTGTCTCAAAAATCAAAAAAACAAAAACAACAACAACAACAAAACCCAACTAGTTTTTAAATATTATTTTTTTTGGATTATTTCCTGTGGTTTTCCTTATAAAATTTATGGCAATTCATAATAATGAATGATAAAATTAAATATATATCATAAATATAAGATTGAAAAACCAGGGCAGTTGAAATATTATTCTAAAAAGCAATTTTCAAAACTGGCCAATCCTAGATGATGCATACACTAAGTTAAAAATACTAACACAACAAATGCTTTTTAGTAATTCAAAGCATTGCTTTACACTTTACACTCCAAGTAGTAATTTAAGTCAAATTTCAAAACTCTTCTGACATTGTACTTATGAAATACTACTAGATACCACTGATTGTTTTTTAACAGTATCAAAGTTAAATATTATTTTGTGAGCTACACAATCTTTTGAATCAAACTGAATCTAGAGAAAAAAGCCATGAAGCAGTTATCATAGGCATAAGAAATGCTCATACTATGAGAAAGCTTTAATTTATTGAGATTTACAAGCAGACTGTAAGAACAGACTGACTAAGCAAATTGACTACAGCAGGCAAACAGAGGAGATACATACATAGCTGAACCTACTTATAAGCAATAAAGGCCAAAAATTTTGTTGCTGAGGTCCTGAACCTTGGATTTTTCTCCCAGTTTGGCCCATGTGTGGGATAGGTCTAATTTGGGGTTTTTCACACAGAATCAATTTGTCTATGTTATCTTCATTATACTAACCCAATGTTTGACTAACTTGACTCTGTTATTAAATCAATTAATAAGTTTAAATTGAAATTTAGGCATGATTAGAATTTGGAGTTGATCCTAACCAAATCATTTCACGTACTGAATCCTAACATAACAGTTGGAATTTTCAAATTATTTATTTATAATAATTAGCTAATGGACAAAGTAATGCCAACAACTCAAACAAAAGGAGATTTGATATGCAAAGAAGACTTACAATTCTAATATAATCTCTCATGTACTGCAAAAATTTGCTTTGCAACCTTTCTGCCAAGAATGGACAATCAACCTTATATTGCATACTAATTCCAATAAATGGTTACCAATTCATCTAAAAGTGAGTGGTTTAAGCTGGGGGTGCAGTGCAGTAGAGGATCACCTGCACAGTGTGTGGAAGGGCCTTAGGTTTGAGCCCCCAGAACAACCTGCTAAAAATATAAAATAAAGTAAGTTACTGGAAACTATCCCAAGGCCACATCTGGTCTTAACAGAAAAAGACTACAGAGATCTTTAAAAATAACTTTGGGACTCAGGTATAGAGTTAAAATCAAATTTTAATAATTTCTGGTATGCTTTAGGGCAAATAAAGATTTAAGAAATTTTTAGTAATTGTTTGATTTAATAGTAGCTTATACAAAGAGATACTCAGTGAACTAGCAATCCTAAGTAACCACTAAAATTGGGAGTTTGATATAGGCCATATTTAAATATAGCAGAACCCCACACAAAGCAATCAAATGGTCTGGGCACTAGAAAAGCAGGTTCTAGTCCTCTATAGTGTACAAGACCATTCATCGTGGCCTATGTCTCAGTGCCTTAAATCTGACAAGAAAGAAGACCCTTTTCCATTCTTAAATTCATTTACAAAATGACAATACCTTTATTCAGGAAGTAAGAGAAATCACAATATAGTCAACCTTAAGCCAGATGATGGGAATACTTCTTGACACAGGTCTCTCTGATCAGGATAAATTCAGGTTCTATTTGTTTTGAGAGTTTTGTCCTGCCTAGTTCATAGGCAACCTAATAAAGTTCTAAATTCCTAAAAGGTAATTTGTGTTAGCTGAATAAAGTGCCCAAGGACGCCCCAGAGCCTATAAACCCTGAAAACTGATTAAAGAATGAAATCTGGACCTGCTGTTTTGGCCCTCTGGCAGCACAGTGCATCATGGCAGGGACACAAAACAAAGGAGCTGCTCACCTTTTGACAGGAAAGAGTGAGGAGGAGGCAAGCCCCACTGGCTCCATCAGAGCTGTGCTCCCCTTCCTTCCACTAGGCCTCACTTGCTAAGGACCCAGTCTTCCAATAGCATCACAGGCAGGCAATCAAGCTTCAGCTTGTGTCCCCCAACGCCACAGCTTAGGCCTTTTGAGTGTATTTAGGATAGAACCCATAGCATGAGGTTAGGTAGAAGGAAAATAGGTATAACATTTCAGAGTAAGAATATTTAACACTCTATTCCCTGAAAATGGGTGATAACATGCATAGTTGTTGAGCTAAAAACACAAGTTTTATGACCCAACTTCTTACTGGCTAAAATTCTTTTAACGAAATTTCCTTAGAAGTTCCATATTCAATTATGAAAATTATTATGTCACTATATGAGCCAAGCCATGGAAAGAAAGGCATTACATGTATATAATAGGATTAAAAACTGGTAAACCTAAGTTGTGGTTTTTCTAGAAGCAAGTTTTATGCAAACTTCAATTTCTGTAGCTACTATAAGGCAGAATAATGTAAACTTGTGAGTCCAGTGTGCTCACCACTCCATGGTGGAATCCACAAGGAATGTAAACTCATTGAGAAACTCACTTTAAGATCTCCTGGCTTTTGGTTAAACTACAAAGGTTTGTGAATCTTGGAAGTATTTTATTTATTCAATATTGAACTCAAACCCAATGAGTGAAAGTTGAGTAAGGTGTGTGAGCTAGGTGAATTTAAACTGGAAGTGTCTGCTGACAAAACACAAAACACCAAGATTTCTTGCTTGTGCTTTCTTGCCATTTATTGTTAATAGGTTTACTTTTGACAACGAAGTCGATCTTTAATAATCTAAAATGGGAAAGCCTTTGAAATATTTTAGAACATTGTAGAAGATTAACAAGCTAGCTTTTATTAGGAGATGTTAATACATGAACTGCATTTAGCGCCCATAGCTTCAGATGCAAATGAACTTAAAGGGGTTTGTTTCTCCTCCCTTCTACGTTCTGCTTATTAGACGTACTATAAAAACTAAGATAACATCTGGTGTTTGAGACGGCAATACACTCTGTGGTTTCCTAGCTCAATAGTTTGGAGAAAGAAAAAGAAGAAACTTCCTGAGACCAAGACGAAATAAACTGTTTATTCCTCATCATTTACTTAGGAGTGAAATGTCTCCCAGCACTAACATCCCATAGTTCTTACACATTATTGCAACTGAAGTCGAACATTCCTTAAGTTGCACATTTTATCTTAGAACTCTTCGTTGACATTCCAGCCTCAAGGCACACGGTAAAACGTTTGTGTTACCTTTCATATTCGTTCGTCCATTCACTTATTTTGGTGGAGCAAGCCTTTAATCACAGCACCTGGAAGGCAACTGCGGCTGGATCTCTGTGAGTTTGTGGCCAGTCTGGTCTACATAGTTTCAGGCTAGCCAGAGCTACAAAGTGAGACCGTGTCTCAACCAAACAGTAGTCTTTTGCTGCTGCTGCTGCTGTTGTTGTGTTTTTAAACTGCGTGTGAATGCGGTCCGGGCGGATGGGAAAGCAGAGGTCTCCAGAATCTAGAAGGCGGCCACAGTGCCCCTGGAGCTGGAGTACTGGCGCTTGAGTGCCAGCCTGGGTGCTGGGACCTCAACTCAGGTCCTCAGTCCTCTCAGATGTCTGTCTGTCCTCACTTTCACATTCTTTACGCATAGAATTTCATTGCGTCTCATTCGCAGGAAGCTTTCTGACCCTGGCAGCTTGACGCGCTGGCCGGGGGTTACCAGGGCGAGCAGCACAACAGATTCAGACCACAGTGCACATTTCCGTGAAGTGCTGTTAACTGCTCAGCAATGCCATGTGTGTGTGGGCTGAGGTTTCTTTTCCTTCCTCACTAGTGAGGTCAAACTGCTCTGGGGAAGAAACTCGCGTCTTTAGCTGCTAGGTCTCACCCGGGACACCGGAGCCTGACCTAACTTACAACTCACTGCAGTGTCTTCTCCCGAACCCCCCACGAGGTCAGCGATCGGGAGACGCGAGGCGCGGGCGTCCCCCAACGCCACAGCTTAC